TGCAGGTCATCAGGTACATGAGGCAGCCAACAAGCTCTGCAAACGGGCCACTCGACTCTACGGACTCATCCGAAGGCAGAGCTGAGAGCGAGTGGCGAGTAGGCAGAGGAGTGGCCTGAGGCGAGGAGTACGTGAAGCCGAAGCGCTGAAGGACCTGCTGCACCATGTGTGACTGAGTCAGGGTAATGGTGCGGCGTGCTCTGTCCCGGGTGATCTGCAAGCCAAGGTAGCTGCGCAGTTCACCCAGGTCAGTGCACGTGTGTCTCTTCTGCAGCTCAGACTTCACGTAGGCGAGTCCAGCAGTGTCAGCTGTGGCAAAGACCAAGTCGTCGACGTACACGAGGATGTAGAACGGCGGCAGAGAGGTGTCGGTGCGCAGAAACAGCGACGGGTCGGCAGTAGAAGGAGCAAACCCAAGTGCCGCGAGCGTAGTCCTCAGTGTGTCGTGCCACTCACGTGGCGCCTGGCGGAGACCGTAGACTGGACGCCGGAGACTCCACTGGGTACCAGGAGGGAAAGACCCAGTGAAGCCAGGTGGGCGACGCAGCCAGATCTCCTCGTGCAGGCTGCCCTGCAAGAAAGCTGTGCTGAAGTCGAGAGAGTGCAGCTCGTAGTCACGGTGAGCAGCAACGTGCAGCAGAACCCGAAGAGTGGTCATCTTCGGGGTGGGGGAGAAGGTCTGAAAGTAGTCAACCCCCTGCCGCTGACTGAAGCCACGAGCCACATAACGCGCCTTGAAGACAGGCGGAGAGCCCGGCGGTCGCTTCACCCTGAAAATCCACATGCCACTGACGATGTTCGCCCCAGGAGGGGGAACAGCGTCAACGTAGGTGCCTGTGGACTTCCAGGAAGCCATCTCTGCATCCATAGCTGCCTGCCACTGAGAGGAGTAGGGACCCTCTATCGCCTCCGCGTAAGAGCGCGGAGTCGGGATGTCTGGTGCATCCGGGTCTCCCTCAGGGGCTAGCAGTACAGACGCGAGACGAGGTGAAGCGGCGGCCAGACATTGGAACTCCTCTTGCCTGTCCTCAAGGACGTCCGTGCCAAGGGCACACTCACCCCCGACGGACGGAGGACAGGCGGACTCAGACTCAGTGACAAGACGAGCAGCGTAGTCTAGACGACAGCGCGTAGCAAAGTCGACAAGCTCAGTGACAAGGGCAGACGCAGCAGACGACTCGAAGGAAGGGTCAGTGACAGCAGTAGCAAGGAGACGCGTGACAGTAGGACTGGCAGCACGAAGAGAGTCCGACTCCGGGTCGGCAAGAGCAGGAAGAGAGGAAGCAGGAGGAGAAGGCAAAGGGGCACGCAGAGGAGCAGTGGACGGACGCAGTGACATCCGGTGCGTGCCAGGGACAGGAGGAGGACGCTGACGCGACCCGCGACCACTAGTGCGCTCAGTACGAACAGGCGACACGGGACGAGACGCAGGCTCACGACGCTCAGTAAGACCTCCAGTCGGACCAGCGTAGGGAGAAGGAGCAGGCAAAGGGGAGGCAGGCTGTAGCTGTGGCTGTGACCGGACAGGCTGCGGACCCTCTAAGGGAGGAGGAGGAGGTGTAAGACCAAGAACCTGCTGCAGGAGCGGAACGAAGTACGGTCGGGGCCGCGCGGCGACGCCAGAAACAGCAGGAACAGCACCAGCAGCCCCGGCAGGAGCACCCACTCCAGCAGCACCTCCAGCAGCACCACCAGAAGCTCCAGAACCTCCAGCAGCAGCACCAGGAGCACTGTCAGTCGGACCGCCAACGGCAGGCTCAGCGCCAACACCCTCAGCAGTACCAGCTCCAGGAGAACTCTCAGACCGAGCAGCTCCAGCACCCACAGTACGAGCACCGGCGGGACGCGCGGCAGCAGTACCCTCTGCAGCCGAAGAACCACCAGCACCAGCAGCACGCCTCCAGCGCCTGGCAAACCACTCACGCAGCTCCTGTGGGGAGAGTGGCTCCCGGCGAGACGAAGCACCCCCAGGCTCAGCACCCCCCGGCTCAGAACCCTCAGGCTCAGCACCCCTAGGCACAGCACCCCCAGGCTCGGCACCTCCAGGCTCAGCACCCCCAGGCACAGCACCCCCAGGCTCAGCACCCCCAGACTCCGCACCCCCAGGCACAGCAACCCCAGGCTCGGCACCCCCAGGCACAGCACCCCCAGGCTCGGCACCTCCAGGCTCAGCACCCCCAGGCTCAGCACCCCCAGACTCCGCACCCCCAGGCTCAGCTCCCGCAGCAGCACCAGAGTCACCAGTGACCTCGACAGGCTCGACCGCGTCTACCTGGGACACACCTGAAGGGGCAGGACCCTGAGGGGGGAGGGGGACTACCGGGGGGGGACCTGGTACCAAGAAGAGCGGGGGTGGGGGGAGGAACGGAGTGCGGTAGGGGAAGAGGCGGTAGTAGGGTACCGACTCGTCGAACGTGACGTCCTGGGAGGACAGAACACGTCGAGAGGTGGGGTGGTAAAACTGCCACCCAGGGGCGTCGGGGGGGAACCCCAGGAAGACGCAGGGAGAAGCACGAGGGGACAGCTTGTCCGCAGACAGGTCGCGAACAAACGCCCGAGATCCCCAGACCCGGAACGCCGACGCATCGCCAACCTTCCCCGTCCACAGCAGGGCTGGGGAGGTCTCCGGTCGAGAGACCCTGGGGTGGAGGTTGATCTGGTGCGCAGCGTACCTGACCGCAAACGTTCACAGAAAATGGGGAGCACCCGCATGCATCATGGACGTACGAGCGACGTCCATGACCATGCCAATGCGGCGCTCAGCAATCCCATTCTGCTGTGGTGAGTCCGGAAGCGTGAAGGTCTGACGGATGCCTCGCGCACGACAGTAGGCACTCAGGAGGCCAGAGGAGAACTCTCCGCCTCTGTCCGAGTGCAGACGCAAAACAGGGAAGTCAGAGCCAAAGCTCCTCCGAAGCTGGAGACGAGCTGCGCGGATCCAGTCGATCAACACCTCACTGACCTCACCCTTGCTGCGCAAGGGGAAGACTGTGGTGTAACGCGAGTAGTCGTCAACCACCAGCAGGAAGTAGCGCTCCTGACCCTGTCCACGGACGCGGGCTGGGCCCCACACGTCCATGTGAAGCGTCTGCAACGGGGCCTCTGTCGGAGGAAACTGGGAGGAGTGAGGGGCAGCACGCTGGCGCCCCTTGACACAGGGGACACAGGTAGGGCCAGGGCCCGGAGGAAGGGGAGGGAGAGACCGGGGAAGACCAGACACAAGGACTCGCGAGGCCATGCCTCTGAGCCGAAGCAGAGAGGGGTGGCCAAGGCGGTGGTGCCAGAGGAGGGTCTCGTGAGACAGACGACGACACGAGCAGGGGGCAGACTCAGGACCAGACCTGGACGCTGCAGCAAACACCTGACCAGACGAAGGGACCCTACCAGACTTAGCACCTGGAGGAGAAGCAGTGGTCAGTGTGTACAGGCTCGACCCTGGCCGACGTGTAAACGTAGCCAGGTGGCGACCTGTATCCGCCTCCGTGCAGTGAGTCACCCGCTGACGAGCAGGGGTGAACTGGTGGACACCCGCATCCTGGAGGTCAGCACCACTCACCAAGTTCGTCGAGAACGAGGGGAGGTAGAGACCAGTCAGGGTGCCAGAGGGGGCCGCCGGACACGGGAGGACAGTGGAGAAGCGAGACAGGACAGGCCCCCCAGAGGGGTCAGCCAGGGACACCGCAACCGGCCGACTCAGCGGCGTGAGAGTGGTGCGGTCCCGAAAGAAGGAGCGAGACGCTCCAGAATCAAGGGTGAAGGTGTGAGAGGCCGAAGCCGACACAGTACCTGAGAGGGCAGACTCACCAGCACCTGAGAGCACAGACACACTGGCACCTAGAGCAGCAGCCTCACTAGTACCTGACGCGGCAGTACCAATGCCCGGGTCGGGCGGGAAACACCGGTAACAGTCATCCTCATCACTACCAGTCACAGCATACATAGCAGCGAGAATAGCCTCAAAATCAAGATCATAAATAGCTACACCAGCCCTAGACAGCTCTCCCCAGCGGGGGATCTCAGCGGCCTCCGGAAACTGCTGACGCCAGGCGTCGGACAGGCGGCCAAAGCAGCGGCGGGCTGTGTGGGCGCCGCCACACCTCTCCCCTGCACGGTCATCGGTGCGAAGAACGTAGGGGCAGGGACCAAGCGCACCACCACGCTGACGCTGCAAGTACCACTCACGGAGCTGCTGAGGGGCGGGGACGGTGCGAGAGCGCTGCTGCTGCTGTGGCTGCTGCTGCGGATGCTGCTGCTGCTGCTGCTGGCGTTGACCACCCCCAGAGCTGCTCCGCTGGGACGAGCCACTCCGACCCCCACCTCCACCGCCACCCCCGCCTCCACCGCCACCCCCGTCTCCACCGCCACCTCCCCCACCAGGACCGTCGCTCCCACCGCTCCCACCGCCTCCTCCGCTACCACCGCCGCCGCCACCTCCGCCTCCACCGCCCCCACCAGTACCTCCACTCCCGCCACCACCCCCACCGCCACCCCCACTCCCCCCGCCACCCCCACCGCCTCCTCCACCGCCCCCTCTAGCTCCACCCGTTCCCTTGCCCCCTTTGCCCTTGCCAGAGCGGCGTCTGCCGCTGGGGGCAGACGCCGCGCCGACCGACTCAAAACCAGTGAGGTCGGCCGCAGCGGCAGAGGCGACAGAGGGCAGCAGGGGGGAAGGACCACACCCCTCAAAGATGGGGGTGCGAGGGTCACCCCGAGAGGCCCCTACAGCGACAATACTCTTCTCAGCCGCTAGCAGGGACTCCTCAAGGAGGTCGACAGTGAGAGTGGTGGGACAGACAGAGAGAAACTGGTCCCTAACGACACGAAGGGACTCAGGGAGACGGGTGACGAGAAAGTAGAGTGTGATGTACATGGGAGGAGGGTTCGCAGCGCGGAACTCAGCAGGAAGGGCAGCGCGGTAGCGGGTGTCACTAGCACGGAGGTGGGTAACGAGGTCAGCAACAGTGGGAAAGGAGGCGAGGTCAGGGAAGAGAAACGGTAGCATGAGGCGGCTAAGGGTAGCGGAGGAAGGGGAGGAGTAGCGTGCAACTACAGCGTCGTACAAGGCCTGAGCGGTCTTGCACTGACTAAAGTGGGCACGCTCAGAGGAAGGGAGGTGGCGACGCACAGCAAGACGTGCAGCAGCATCGCGGGTCGCCCACTTGGAGCGAACAGCAGAGTCAGCATCAGCAGGTGGGGCAGGGACAGCTGCGACCCGAAGCTCCGTGCGCAGTGCTGCGTGGGGTACGACCGCAAGCCCGGGGAGTGCTGCGCGGGGCTGGACGCGAACGGCGGAGAGACGGGCAACCAGTGCTGCGGGAAGCGGTGCTGCGGGAAGGGCTTTCAATGCTGCAAGGACGCGAACGGCATCCCGCTGGACCAGTGCTGCCCCGAGGGCACCCAGTGCTGCGGGTCCACCTGCTGCAAGCCCGGGTACGAGTGCTGCGGCGACGGGCAGTGCTGCCCTATTCAGAAGGCCGCTTGCTGGAACAACACGTGCTGTGACGTGACGCTGAAGCCGCTGCGGTGCGCCATTAAGGGCACGGATGATCAAGGGCAGACGGTGGAGCTGCAGGGGGCTTGCTGCCCTGCTGCGACTTCCACTGGCGCGGCGACGGGCAACCAGTGCTGCGGGCGCAAGTGCTGCCTCAAGAGCGACACGTGCTGCACAGACAGGGAGGGCACCCCCACGGAGACCTGCTGCCCCGAGGGCAGCCAGTGCTGCCAGGACGGCAAGACGTGCTGCAAGAAGGGCACCGTGTGCTGCGGCGACGGCAAGTGCTGCCCGGCTGAGACGTTCTGCTGCAAGCCCACCATCGACGTGGCTGGCAACGCCAAGGAGTTTGCCATCGCCATGCTGGGTCGGTCCGTGGGCATGCTGGCGAGGAAGCCCAAGCAGGATGTGGCGGGCGTGCAGTGCTGCAAGGTGGGCGACAGCTGCTGCGCTGAGGGCACGTGCTGCCCCAAGGGGACCCAGTGCTGCGGTGGAGGCAAGTGCTGCCCGCTGGACGGCGACTGCTGCGGTGCCACGTGCTGCAAGCCGGGGTTCCAGTGCTGCGGGCCCAACAAGTGCTGCGAGAGGAAGCTCAAGCCACAGTGCTGCGGTAATTCCTCCCTCACCACCACGGGGACGCCGCCGGCTATTGACTGCTGCCCCATGCTGAACGTTGATGGGAAAGAGACGGGCAATGAGTGCTGCGGGTCGGCGTGCTGCATGGGCGGCACCAGGTGCTGCGGCGGGCGGACCTGCTGCGACCTCGCGTCCAAGTCTCTCTGCTGCAGCATCCAGGGGACGACCCTGGGCGGCACGTGCTGTCCGCAAGTGAACCCCACGACGGGTGTCCCCACGGGGCTGACGTGCTGCGGCGCGCAGTGCTGCAAGGCCGGGCAGGAGTGCTGCGGGAACAAGTGCTGCCCGCCGGATACCAAGTGCTGCGGCGACCAGTGCTGCCCCAAGGAGCGCAACCACTGCTGCGGCTCCACCTGCTGCAACCCCCTCACCAAGCCCAAGTGCTGCGGTGCTGCGTCGGCGGATGGGACTGTGGGCGCCATGGAGTGCTGCCCGAGTGTGGACCTGCTGGGGCGGGAGCTGGGCACAATCTGCTGCGGCAAGCAGTGCTGCATGCCCCCGGGCAATGGCGTCCCGGCACAGTGCTGCAAGAGCGATGCTGGCGAGGAGATCTGCTGTGATGCTACCACGGGGCAGTAGGAGCGAGATTGGGGCGCAGAGAATGGTGGAGTGAGTGTTTTTGAGGATGTTTGAGCAGGGAAGAGTTGCTTGCAAGAGCAGTGGAGATGTGAAGTGCATAGGCTGCTGCTGCTGCTGACTTGTTTTTTCTCTGCTTTTTTGTCATGGAAGTTTGTAGCCAGCGTCTGTTTCATGCCAGTGCTCTATTCTAGGTGCGCATGCTTTTGTCCTTACCTTACGGTATTCCCTTAGCTAGTGCGTACAGCCGTGTTGCTTTTGTGCTTACTTCTGTACCCCCCAATAGTCCCCACTTGGGGTGTCTAAGAATCTGTTCGGGTTCAGGGTGCTAATTAAAAACTGGATTTTTGCTACCGTATGGCCCCGGATATAAGCGCAGGCCTATAATAAGCGCATGCGCTTGTATCTGGAGCAATGCGCTTATGGCCGATCCTCATTTATAAGCGCATGTAGAGTATGTTGGGCTGAGAATTTCAGCCTTAGGATCTTTGCAGAGAATAGGCTAGTAGGTGCTAGAGTAGCACAGCGGAAGACTTGAGTGAATGTACTTGTGCTGGTATGTGAGAACAAGTAATTGATTAAAGCAAAGAGCATACAGGAATATATAGGAAAGATAGATTACAGGAAGCGGTTATGTTTATCGAGACGCGTAACGCTTCGACTATCGAGGCGGTTACTGTTCACTCAAGCGTCGCTTGCTGTTACGTAACCTCCAGGCGGGTACAGCTCGCAACCTCCAGTTGCGGTTTGATGTGGTACGCGCCTTTTCGACTTCATACCCCTTTTGTTGTGCTTCAGTATCGGGTGAGGTTCGATACTACAGAAACGCACTAAGTCATGCGTTTATATTCCCAACACTCCCCTTCGTGTCTGGAGTGTCGACGTGGTTAGCTTCGGTGACGTGGCCCAATCCGGTGAGCAGCATGCAGTACTCGAATTTCCCCTTTGGTAGCTTCTTGGTGAGATAATCTGCTGCCATCTCGGTGGTCGGGCAGTAGTCCAGCTGGAGTTTTCCCTTCTCAATTTCGTCTTTCACGAAGAAGTATCGCAGTGCGATATGCTTGGTTCTGTTGGCGAAGCCATTCTTGTTTGCGATCCGTATCGCGGACTGGTTGTCGCAGAAAAGCGAGAAGCTGGGTACTTTCGCAATTTTCGCTTCTTCCAGCAGTTCGCGCAGGTACAGACCTTCCATGGTAGCGGTGCAGAGAGCAATATACTCTGCTTTAGCAGATGATAGTGTGACGAGTTTGTCAGAATGTCATATTTGTTATCTAGCCTGCAGTGGGGTACTCTATAGCGAGTATAACCCCTTAGGGTTTCATATTTGTATCTCATTGCCTGCTAGTACAACCCTCTTTTGCCTAACCTCTCGTTGCCTAGCTAGGTTAGTCCTAGCTATGGCTACTATCGTTACCTGCCTATCTTCACATGGTATCAGAGCAGTACGCTCCTGGCCTGTGTGCCTAACCACGTTCCTTCCGCTGCAAATACTACTTTCCCTTACCGACGTGCGCCCCGAGGCGCGCGGCGGTTTTCTGCCCGCCGTGCGCCGCTCCCGGGAGGCGCTGTGACGGGCGACGGGGACCTCCGCGTCGCCCCCCGTCGCCCGTCGTGGCCTCTGTGCGGCCCGTACAGGCAGCGCGCGGCCCGTACGGGCTGCGCCAGACCCACGCGCTGCCCGTACGGGCTGCGCCAGGCTCGCGCGCGGCCCGTACGGGCTGCGCCAGGCCCGCGCGCGGCCCGTACGGGCTGCGCTTGGCCGTCGCGCGGCCCGTACGGGAGACGCCCGACCCGCGCGCGGCTCGGGCTGCATGCGCGCGGCTCGGGCGTCCCTACCAGGCCCGTGGTGGGCCCGTTTCCTACCTTCCCTGCCCTCCCCGCTGTTCCCAGTCCCTCTACTACCGCCCTACCCCTCCTACTCCCCATTCTCCTACTTTAGGGTTTGGGGGTGAGGGGTATGGGGGTGACCCTCCTCAGTACCACTCCCTGCTCCTCCTCCTCCTCCGTCTCCTTGTGCTGCAGCTGCCGCTGAGGGGGGGGTGATTGTGGTGGAGCCGGTGGAGTGATACTAAGGGGGGGGGAAGGGGAGGAGAGCTTGCGGTGTAGCAGTGGGTGTGTGCCAAGGGGAGTAGGACAGTCTGGGGAAGCTGAATGGAGGATGCCGATGTGTCGCTAGCAGCACCTGTAGTCCGGGGACTTCGTCCGGTAGCCCAGTCGTAGCCAGCTGTGCCAGCCGCCCGTGGGTCCGTTGCTCGTCTGCCGCTACTTTAGCCGCGGGGCCAGTTACTCCTGTAGTCCGGGGGCTTCGTCCGGTAGCCGCTGTGCCAGTCTGCCTCCTGTTGCCCGTGTGTCTGCAGCTTCATCCGTCACCTCCTATCTCCTCTCCTCTCAGTCTCTCTCCTCCTCCTCACTTGCCCGTTGTGACTACCTCTAGCTTTTCTTATAACTGTGAACTTTATACTACTGCTGCTTGAACTTGTGCTCAGACTGTGTGGTGACATTGTGATCCACCCTGAGCTTGTTCTGTTTTGCTTGCTCTGCTGATTACACCCCACTTTGGCTATGGGGGTGTGTCAGAATGTCATATTTGTTATCTAGCCTGCAGTGGGGTACTCTATAGCGAGTATAACCCCTTAGGGTTTCATATTTGTATCTCATTGCCTGCTAGTACAACCCTCTTTTGCCTAACCTCTCGTTGCCTAGCTAGGTTAGTCCTAGCTATGGCTACTATCGTTACCTACATATCTTCACAGAGTTCCTGCTTACTTGATTGCCAGGAGATAGTTCCGACGGGCTCGAGACGGTAGACGTAGCCGGTGCGGGAGCGACGATCGACACGATCAGCAGCGTGATCAGCGTCGACGTAACCGAGTAGTTTTAGGTCGGTCGTCGTGCTCTTGTGATACGTTAAGCCAACTGTTGGCGTCGAGATGAAGTAGAGAAGGGCACGGTTGAGTTCCTTGAGGTGACGTTGTTTTGGGCGCTTGAGGTAGGTCGCTAGCTGGCCGGCGCTGTAAGATAAGTCCGGTCGGCACGTAACGGCGGCAAAGAGTAGGCAGCCCAGTTTCTGTTGATATTCCTGGATTCCGGCAGACGGCAGTAGGTTGGTTTCTTCAGTTGGGTCGGGCGATAGGTGACTGTAGGGTGTTGCGACGTGCGTCGGTGTGAAGCAGAAGCGTTCGGCGATAGTGCTTGCGTATTTTGAGGCGCTGAGATGAATGGCGTTGTCTTCGTCGAGAATGTTGAGCCCTAGGTACTGCGTGACGTTGGGTGAGACTGTGAGGGAGAGATCCGTCTGAAGCTCCTTTTCGAACCAAGTGACGATAGTGGTAGTTGATCCGATGTAAAGTAAGTCGTCGACGTAGAGGATTAGCAAGACGTAGTCGTTGTCGTGAGTGGAGCGATACATGCCCTGGTCATGGGGCAGTTGGTTGAATCCGATACGTTTAAGTCGTGCGTGCAGGTACTGCTGCCAGAGTCGCGGTGCCTGTTTAATTCCGTACAGTGATTTAAGTAGTTGATAGACGCGGGAAGGGTCGTCGACGAACCCGTGGGGCTGTTCAACGAAGATTTCGGCGTCGACTGGGGCGTACAGAAAAGCGTTGGCGACGTCGATTTGTCGGAGTGGGCGGCGACGTGAGGCGGCAATGGGGAGGAGAATGCGTAGGGAAGTATGTCGACTGACTGGTGCAAAAGTTTCAGTGAAGTCGCGACCAAACTCTTGGTCGAATCCACGGACGACCCATCGAGCTTTAAATCGTTCGATGGTTCCGTCGGAGTTGGTTTTGATCCGGAATACCCATTTCTCGGAGAGAATGGGTCTGTCTTGTGCGAGTGATGCAGGAACGATCTTCCAGGTGTTGCGGTCTGATAGCGCTTTTAACTCCTTTTCCATGGCTTCGCGCCATTTTTCTTTGTGTTCCCCCCCTCAGAGCCTGCTTGACAGAGCGAGGCTCTTCAGGTGGCGTCGAAGGCCCGTGCACTGCAGCGACGAGTCCCAGGACTTGGAGTCCGCTGGGGGTGTGACGGTTCAGCAAGGGATCCTCGGGATAGACTGCTTCGTCTCCCGCTTCAGGATCAGGTGCGAATCCGGGGCCGTATCGTTCAGAGATGTCGGTGTTGACGGGTTGGGGTGTTACGTAACCAGTGTCGGCGAATTGGTAGTAGACATCGGCATTGATGCTGTCGCGAGGATTTTCCTCATCCATGGGGATTGGGACGGAACAGTAGGGAAGGGGTCCAGCAGCTTCGGAGGCGCCGTCGACGTTTTCTTCTTCCCAGTCAGCAGCGTCGGTGGGTGAAGCGAAGGCTCGGGAACCAGAAAATCCGCTGGTGGGGTCGACGTGGCGTGCGATGTTGTCCAGGTAATGGTTGAGGGTGAGTCGCTCGTAGAAGATAACGTCACGTGCTGCTACTGTTTCCTTTTTGTGGACGTCGAAGATTCGCCAGGCTTCGTAATGTTTTGCCAGCCCGAGGTGTAGACCCCACTGTGCACGTTGCGAAAATCTCCCTGCGCGTGCAGTGTGTGGGCGGTACTGTACCATACACCCAAAAACTCGTAACATTTTTGTGTTGCCCAGCTTCCCAGTCCACAACAGGTGCGGAGATGCGTTGTTGGGTAGTGAAGACGAGGACAGCAAGTTGTGCAGGAGGACAGCGTGGTCCATCGCTGCTGGCCATTCTGAGTTGGGCAGTTGTGTTCCACGTAGCAGCTTTCGCATGGTTGTCTGCAGGGTCCTGTTCATCCTTTCTGCCACACCCTGCTGTTGGTGAGCGTAAGGAAGAGAGATGAGGCGTTTGATGCCTCTTTCTGCCAAGAACTGTTTGAAGCGATGTGACTGGTATTCCATCGCGCCATCTGACTGAAAACTCTTCAGTTTTACTCCCGATTCTCTTTCAGCGACAGGTAGCCAGGCTGTGAAGGCTTCTAGAGCCATGTCTCGTGACGGTAAGTTGACGTGCCAGACATATCGCGTTGCGGCGTCGATGAAGGTGATGACGTA